ATATCATAGATAATAATGGTAATTTAAAATATGTGGTTTTAAAATATAAGCCCGGCCCTTGTATTTAAAAAAAAAAATTTTAGGCTGGGCCTGGGTATATTTAAAATTAAAATACAGCCCGGTCCATGTACCCAAGCCGGGTTTAAGGCTGGGTCTGTAGGTCTGATCTAATTTATTGCGCGTTTTTAATTTCCCTGATAAATGTGATTTTACCAAATTTATTCCGAAGAGAATCTACTCTGAGAATTTCATATGATTTTGCTAAAAAAAAAATTGTATTTAACAATTTATAATGAAAATCCATATATAAAAAGGTAATCAAAATTAAGGTAAGGTGATAGTTTGATGGGTATTTTGTTCTATTTTTTTGCATTTTAAATAATTAATTGAGCGCGTTAAATTTTTAATCTGATTTTGCCGGAACTGTATTCCAATATGTGTAGAAACTTTGATATTAAGGATTTATTTTTTTTATTATTTGAATTATATTTTAAAATAAGGTCCAATAGAAGGAGGAATAGGATTTATTGCTTCTGAAATTTCCTGGCTAATCGCAGTCATTTTAGTTCCAAAACACTAATTATTGTTTAAATGCGCCAATATTTTTGAAGAGAGAACTTAATTTATTAGCATTCTATATTATTTGTAGTCATACTAACCCAATTTATTTTCAAACATTAATTTTTATAGAAAATGGCTGTCAATGTTTTTGAAGTGAGAAATAAATATTATTATCTATCGAAATATCAATTTTATCCCAATTATTTTTAAACATCGATTTTCAAATGAGATAGGGTATTACCAATGGTTTTAAATTAAAAAATTATGGCAGCAGTCGTTTTATAATGGTTGCACATTAACTGCCCTTAGTAGAATGACAGCAGTCAATATTAAACAACGGTTTCAAATGGTACACCAGGCTTAAATATTATTTAAAAAACCTGAGATGATTTTTAAAAATAAATTTAAATTATTTTTTAATCAGTTGTAAAATCATATGAAGCATTTAATATTAATTTATGGTCATAAATTCAGTATAAAACAATTTATAAAATACAGCCAAAATTATTCAAAATAACGAAATTTTGAAAATTTAGGGCAAGGGGCCTTAAATAAAAAAAATCCTATACGGGTTAAGTACACAGTTTATTGTAAATTATAATCGTTTTTAAAACAAAATAAAACCTTCATTAATTTTTTAAAACATAAAACATTTTTCCAAAAGATATAATATAAATAATTAAACATTTAAAAATTCATATTTTAATGAATATATAAAATTAATTATATAAATACAATATATTATATTAATCAGTTAGAATATTATATAATAGAACATTTAAGATATTAGTAATTTATGTAATACTAAATATAAAAATAAAATCATAAATTCAATATTAATTAATGAATAAAATTTAGATATAAATTGTAAGTAATTAGGGGGTATCAGTCATTGAGAATATGAAGCTGAGGTAATTGGATTTTATTATATTGAGGGCTAATCTTTGGCGTAGGTAGTAACCCTCTTTGGGATCTTCGGTCCTAGTAGAGATCCGTTTCCCCAGCTCTTTAAAGAAGGCAAGGGCGTGAGAGCCGAACGATGTTAGAGTCGTGGCGATTAGTGGTAGGAATGTGTAATTGGCCGGAAGCGATGGCGAATATTTAGCGAGTTTATTCGTCTCGGCGTCTACTAGAGCATCTCTATTTATATTGGAAGAGGCAAGGGGATCGATGCATGAGAAATCCCAGGTTAGAAATTCCCCCCTCTTCCAAGGGATCATGGTAGAGCCATCGGGACGCTTACCATCAGAATTGTAGAGTCCAGTGGGTTCTAGGGTTGATGGGATACCGGCAGATTTTAGGGCCCTGGCAATAGTATCATTGCATTTTGAATGTCTAATGAATCTGCCTCTACAGCGCTTGCAGTGTAAAGAGTGACGGCCTTTGGAGTTGACCGGCGTTTGACAAAGGATGCAGTGATAGGGTATTACCATATCACAATTAAGTCTTAGACATATGGCGTGACGTAGCTCATCATTGCTTAGGAGCTGGTCAAGGTTTCGTGATGGAAAAGCTTCGAGAAATTCATACCCGCTGTCTGCGGAAATGGAGAAGAGTAGAGAATGGTCCTCGGGTTGGCTTTTCGATTTAAGGTATGCAACGGAGTTGCCAACTAGAGGCTTATCCCAGTCCTTCTGCAGTGTCGATGAGGGAGGATCGACTAATGAAAGAGATTTCCATAGATCAATTGCCTGGGGAAGTAAAGGGTCAGGATGTTTTGTGAGTGCGTGTATGATGGGCTCGCAGGACAGGCGAGAGGATATGAACGCACTAACAGAGAGTAGGGAAGGCGATCGTATGCCAATGCCGCCGGATTTGGTTGGCAAGGTAGCTTGTAGCCAAGATAGGTCTTCGAATTTGAGATTGAGTATATCCTCTGTAAGGTGTTTAATCTCTAGCTCGTGTGCAGCGAGGTTGACGTCGTATTGGAAGATACGTGACGATCGGAGTGTATATAGAATTTTTGGGATTAGGAGGTAGTTCTTTAATAGAAAGAACGCTTGGTGGGCTGGGAGGCGAGATAGTGTACCGCGCATAAGGGATATCTCTAGTAGAGTGTCGGCGAAGAACTTGAAAGGACTCGTCTTTACCCACTGGAGATCCGAGATGTGTTAAGAAGTTCAATGGTGTATGATTGAACATAGGATCATAGTTAAGGTCGATGATTCCAAGAGGACAATATTCGCTCTTGTCTTGATTGATTCGCAGTCCCAAACTGCTCTCGCTGGATTTTATTATTTCGACCGCCTTCATAACTTCGCTGGGTGAGCCGCCTAGTATACCATCGTCGATATACCAGTTATGAAGGTTTAGTTTACATTGGTCATTTATGCTTTGTATTAGGCTATTAATGCCCAGACTGAATAAGAAGGAGCCTAGAGGGTCACCTTGTTGTATTCCACTACTAGAAGGAATCAATCTATCTCCAAATTGAAGATGCGATGGACTAGCATAACAATCGAAGATGAATTGCGAGTATTCTGGGTAAAGGGTAAGGATGGGATTAAGAAACGCTGTTCGTTTTAGAGAGTTAAAAGCGTTTGAAAAATCTATCTTAATTAGGATATCGTCACTGGGGTCTGTTTGTAGATACATTCTGGTCATGTGTAAGGATACCTCGCATCCCCCTTTTACGTTGACTCCTAATTGATTAGGGCACAGGTGATTAGATACTGTGAACAATATTCTGCTCACTACTAGCTTTGCGGTTAATCGGCGCCAAGTGGTTCCAATAGCGATAGGACGAATATCTTTATTAGGTTTGTGGAGGGCGATGAGTTTAGCTCCATAAAGGAGTGGAATAATGGCGGGCGGTAAGCCTCCAGCAAGCATAAGGTTGATGAGTTGAGTAATTTTTTCCAAAACGTCGCATTGTTGTGTGATGTAAGGTGCGGTTAGATCCTGTAGGAATATTGGGCGAAACCCATCAACCCCCGGTGAAGAATCGCGTTTGAAGGAGAGAATAGCCTTTCTAACCTCGCTTGAGGTAAAGGTGGTTGCAATTAGAGGAGCTTCGGGGTAAGACGGTATTTCGTCCTTAAGATCGTGTGGGTGGTGTTTTAGGAGAAGAGCTTGATAAGTTGTTTGATCGTAGGGAGCTAGCTTATTGTCAGATGTTGCCAGTCATATGGCGGATTTAACATTCAGGTTATCCAGCTTTTTAGATATAAGCTTGGCCTTGGTGAGTAGGTCATTTTTGTGATTTTTATTTTTATCAGTGTCATCACCTTTAAAAGATGTGGAAAAGTGGCAGGTAGTAAAGGCAAATGACAGGGTGTCTAGCCAGTGTTTTATGGAAGAATAATTATTTATCAAGGAAGTCAAGTTCTTTGAGACGTGTTTGGCAACTTGAAGTCTTGCTCCCTTAGGTATACGTGAAATCACAAATGGTTTTGGTGTGACTAGAAATATTTCTACATCTGTGGAGTCGGTTGGATTGAAAGTGAGAGCATTTTCGGCGGTTGAGGTGGGGACTATTGGGCTAGTAGGCACATCAGTCAACGTGGGAATGGTAACTATAGGTTGTGCGAGGGCAAGGGCAGAAAAGGCATTTAGGGTTCGAGGGATAGCTGGTGATAAGATGGGAAACCCAGATTGAGGACATTTTATCTTCTGGTTTCGATGAGATGGCAATAGCCCCAATTTGGTTACTTTAACGAGTTTATTACATAAAGGGCAGTTAGATTTGGTAGAAGCTGTGCTGAGGTCTGGTAAGCTCATGAATTAAAATTTTTTTATCAGTTTAATAGTGAAAATGTTGGATATTATATTTATCTTCAAATATGGGTTTCTTGTGGGTTGGTATCAGGGTTGGCATGTCGGTCAATTGACCGGTCAAATTCGGTCAATTGACTGGTCAATTGACCGGAGGAGTATTTGACTGGTCAAATACGGTCAAATACTCTAAAATATTAATGGCGAATAAATATTTTGATATAATTAACTAGTATGCATTAAAAGCATGTTTATCAATCTTATTATTTTTTTATTAAAATATAAATATGTAATTTTTCTAAATATAGTAATATTTTTAGTTATTTTTTTGCCTAATCATTGCCGTTTCTCGCCTTCTTTATTTTTTTCAATTCATTTTTCTTAAAAAAAATAAAAATACCCGATTTATTATAATCATAATATAATTTTTTCATTCTTATTTTTTAATAAATTTAAATTTTATTTAAAATTTAGCCGAGTATAAATTATATTAATTCTCATTTGTTTTACTTACACTTGCTATATTTGGTTTTTAAAATTAATTTTCATTTTAATTGTTCTGGTCAGATTTACGGAATATTATTCAATTCTGGTAAAAAGTTTATTATATTATAATTATAATATTAAGAAATTATTGGAATAATTGGTCGATAATTATAAAATAGTTAAGATTGATTAACTTTACAATAATCAAAATCATTTTTTGTTAAATTTTAATATATTAGGGATTATGGTCAAACCAAAGCATCATGTTTGGAAACATTTTCAAGAAGTACGCGATGGTAAATCAGTTAAAGCGGTGTGCAAGTTTTGCAAGATGTCCTATATCACCCACGTTGATAGAATGGTCAAACATTTATTAAGCAGCTGTACTATGTGCCCTGTTATAATTAAGGAAAAATTTTATTCAAATTCCAAAATATCAACCTCTACAAAAAATATCACAAATGTAATTTGTAATACTTCTAAGTCTAACTCTAATGAAGAATTGGGTGAAATTAGTGAGAATGATTATCAAATGAACAATATTTTGTCTTGTGACTCAGGAGAATTTGATTCCCTTATTTCTAATCAATCTACAAGCAAGGCGATTAAATATAAATCTCAATCTTGTATAACCGGTTTCATAGATAGAATTAATCCCAAAGAAAAAAATGAGCTGGATCAATTGTTTGCAAAGGCTGTATATGCGAGCAATTTACCTTTCCACATCACTGAAAATCCTTACATCCAAGAATTTTTTAAAAAAATACGTCCTATTTACACATTACCCAGGAGAAGGCAGCTGGCTGGATATCTTCTAGACAAAGCGTCATGTGATATGGAGGTGAGAGTTGCAGATATAATAGATAAAGCTCCTTACTTATCAATTGTATCAGATGGCTGGAGCAACATTAGAAACGAGAGTATTATTAATTTTATGGTGATGACGCCTGTTCCAGTGTTCTACAAATTTTTAAATACTGAGGAAAATCGCCATACGGCAGATTATATTGCCCAGGAATTTAAAAATGTAATTTATGAATTGAATCCGGTAAAAGTATATTCTTTAGTTACTGATAATGCCGCTAACATGAAAGCAGCCTGGAGAATTCTAAAATCTGAATCTATTTATAATCATATACAATGTTATGGTTGTGCAGCGCATACATTGCAGTTATTCTTTCACGATTTTGAACGATTGGACGCCTTCAGTGACCATATTTCAATAATTAAAAAAATTGTTAAATTTTTCAAGAATAAACACATACCAGCTGCAGTATCTTCCCTTAATAAGAATCTTCATGGCATACCATCTACATTAAGTACAATTAGCCAAACAAGATGGGCATCGTCAATAAAATGTATGGAGCAAATTCAAATATGCAAGAAAGCTCTAAAAGCATCAGTTGTTGAAGAAGCTGTTTGTGATAATTGTCCCATAGAAATTACCAATAATATATTAAACGAAGAATTTTGGACGAAAAATTTAAAATTTTTAGCTATACTCCAACCTTTAGCTACCTCATTGTTGAAAGTGCAAGGGGATAAATGTACTTTGGCCCAAGTAAAAAACGAGATGCTTAATTTGGAAAAACACATAATACAATCATGCCATGATTCTATATTTTCTCCATCTCAAGAAAAAAAAATTAAGGTTATGTTTGAAAAGAGAAAAACTGATATAAATACATGTGCTCACAATGCTGCTTATTTATTGGACCCCCAATATCAAGGGGAGCATCTTACTAATACTGAATTTGATGAAGCATGTAATATAATACAAGAATTGGGTATTTTACAAGGTGGTGATAATCAAAATATTTTGAGTAATATAGTAAATTTCAGAAGCAAAAGCGGTATATTTAATAGCCATAATATGTGGAAAGTTGTAACTTCCATAAGAAACAATCAAATTTCGGCCTCAAGTTGGTGGAATGCATTTTGCCCACCTTGCCCATTAAGAGAAGTCGCTAATATTTTACTAACATTTCCTAGTTCGACTTCTTCTTCTGAAAGAAATTGGTCGGTTTGGGGCAATATTCACACGAAAAACAGAAATAGATTAAAGGCTTCTACAGCAGGAAAATTAGTAAGAGTGTATCATAATTTAAGATTGATTAAAAATATTAAAGAAAATAATGATATTGAATATGAATCGGAACAAGACTCTGCCACGGAGGGTGAAACATTGACTATAGAATGAATTAAAAAATATTATGATATTTATTATTATACATAGATTTATTATAGTATTATATAAATGCAAAATAAAGTTAATATTGGTGTAAAAAACATTTATTTGAATTTGACCATATTTGACCGGTCAAATATCGGTCAATTGACCGAATTGTATTTGACCAGTCAAATGCACAACCCTGGTTGGTATATTAAGGAAGTTTAATGAGTTATTATTTTCTGTTGGCAATTATTTTATTTTTTGTAAAATATTCAGTTTCTCTTTCTGCTTTTATAGCAATATTAGCTTGCTTTAAAGGATTTGAATCAATAGTATAATTAGATAAGAGATTAAAAGTCTTATCCTTTTCAAGTGTGAATATTGATTTTGTTTTGTGCATTTAAATAAAATGTTTGGATGACAATTTTATATTAGTCAACAGTTTTTGGTATAAATAAGGGTAAATTGTAAAGATTGGTAAGAATGATAGAATTGATAATGTAGAGTGTTTTGTTGGGAATAATATAAAAGAACTTGTTAGTTATTAATTGATGTATAATAATTGAGGATGATTGGTAATCTAAAAGTAAAGGAAATATTAAAGGAAAAAGTATTTACTTAAATTTTTTGTATCATTAATCTACAATTAAATTTTGATATATTGGAATTGTATAGAATTCATTGATGCAAAATTATGAAAGAGGACTGAATATTTTGGATGATAAAATCATTTTTATGTCAGGTTGTGGTATTGGCAGTGGTTGTAGTGTTGGCAGTGGTTGTAGTGTTGGCAATGGTTGTGGTGTTGGCAGTGGTTATAGTGTTAGCAGTGATTGTAGTGTTGGCAGTGGTTGTAGTGTTGGCAGTAGTTGTAGTTTTATTGTTAGATTAATCAGGCGTAGCTTTTATGATTTTTCTAAGCTTGCAATTTGTTTATTTTGAAATTGGATATCTTGCTGAGATCCACTTATTAAATTGTTAACATATTGCTGGATTTAATTTTATAAGGTTGGGTGGCAACATGATGATACAAAGGATATTGATTGTGTTTTGTACATTTAAATAAAATGTTTGGATGACAATTTTATATTAGTCAACAGTTTTTGGTATAAATAAGGGTAAATTGTAAAGATTGGTAAGAATGATAGAATTGATAATGTAGAGTGTTTTGTTGGGAATAATATAAAAGAATTAAATTTTTTGTATCATTAATCTACAATTAAATTTTGATATATTGGAATTGTATAGAATTCATTGATGGAAAATTATGAAAGAGGACTGAATATTTTGGATGATAAAATCATTTTTATGTCAGGTTGTGGTATTGGCAGTGGTTGTAGTGTTGGCAGTGGTTGTAGTGTTGGCAGTGGTTGTAGTGTTGGCAGTGGTTGTAGTGTTGGCAGTGGTTGTAGTGTTGGCAGTGGTTGTTGTGTTGGCAGTGGTTATAGTGTTGGCAGTGATTGTAGTGTTGGCAGTGGTTGTAGTGTTGGCAGTAGTTGTAGTTTTATCGTTAGATTAATCAGGCGTAGGTGGTTATTTTGAAATAATTAACCATTTTTATGAAATAGGGTGTAATGTGAATTACACATATGATATATTTAATTATGAATGATAATTTGAAGGAATTGAAGTATGATGAAGTCAGAATAATATCTATGTTAGATGTGGATAGTTATTTTGATTTAGTGTTTTGCATTCTACATTTTCGTTATCAAAAAGTTTATAGTGCCTTCATTGGCGTGAACACTTTATTAATTAATGGATGATCAAATGAAATAATTTAGAAGAAGACAAGAGGATCTTGAGACCAAATTTTTCGTACAAACTATTTAAGGATAAAAATATTACCATTTTATTTTCAACACATATAAAAAATCAGGGTTGTGCAGACCGGCAAATAAGAATCGAAAAACAAATTTATTTTTAAAAAAATTTACGACATTTATTATTTATTTTATTACTAATTACGACATTAACATTTGTTATGCTTCAATTTATGTCCATGCCGTAAAAAATAGCTAAGCATTAATAAAATTATAATTTTTTTGCGTTGATTAAGCTATCTTTTTAAATAAAAACCAGTGGCTGAAATAATAGTTTTCTGCTAAAAATCTTGAGACGTTATTGTAATTCGGTAAAAATAAGGTTATTGCTAAACTATAATTTACTTCTGGCACCTTAAATCGATTATATGACTTATTTATTAACTCGTTTTTAGATATATTTTATTATCTCTAAAATATTACTTTAATTTTTTTTTAAATTCTTGAACCCTAACTGAACTTAACTGGTTCCTGAAATCTAATTCATTTCATTTAAATTTATTCATGTTTACAACCCTCAATATTTTTGATTCGTAATTTATTTATTCTCACTATGATATTTCATTTTAAATTTAGCGTTTCATTTTTTACATAAAACTCTTCATATTATCGAAGATCAATTCACTTTATAGCAAAAATGAATCTAACTAAAAATATTCAAGTATCTATTAAATAGAGAAAATGTTCAACACACTTATATTGGCCAAAATCATATATTATAAATGATAATTAATTCGATTCGAATACTAACGAAAAATCTAATAATAATTTGAGTATACAATTACAATCTACCAGATACTAGAGTTTTATATTTTCGTACTAAATAATATAGAATAATATAAAAAATAATCTGTAATAATTTGCTATTATTTTTTATGTATATATTGATATTAATACTTTATAGTAAAATTATATATTTAAATTAATATTAGACGCGAGACCCTTCAGGTACGATAAAATGTTACGATTTCTATAATCCGAAACTATTCTCTTTAATCTTTCTGTTAGATTTCGATACTTTTTTCGGGGTGAAGTTTCATCATCACCTCCTTGTAGTTGAACAATCTTTAACTCAGTTAAATTTTGTTGCTTTTTAAGTCCTTAAAATGGTATAAATATTCAATGTATATAAAATTATTTATTTGATCAATTTTTCATATTTTTTTAAAAAAAGCAAATTATCCTATGAAATTTTTTACCTGGGTGAATTTAATATTATACCTGCTATAAATTTCCATATCGTCGGATGATAGGATGTTAATAATGAATTAAAACTACGGTGCCATCCTTCCACAAATTTGTATTAGCCTCTCCGTTCAGTGTGGAATCATAACAATTCCATAAGGAAATAGGATAAATTGGGATTAATCTTTCTCTCCCATATGATTTCCCTATGTATGTATTTTCTATGTTAATGTCTCAAAAGCCATTATTACATCGGTTTCTGGCACGTAGGCCAAACATACCATCATTTTTAAATATAAACAAAATTGTGGATTAGTTTTATATAGAATTGATAGTTTTGGAAACTTTTGTATTTTTCTCCAAAAACGTTGACCAAAATGAAATAAACATCCTCGTTGTTTCGTTAACGGGAAGACCGATTTTAATGCATTGATTGCCGATAACTCGAAATCGGTCATTATAAAATCAGGAGAGATTGTTACATACTATCGAATAATTTCAAAAACTCGCTTGTAATCATCACTCCTTTTACCTGTCATCAATATGTATACTAGGGGGAAAACCGTTTTATTTATACCGTGAAGGGTATAAAGTATGAAAAAGTGCGGGGTGCATTTAAAAGTACCATCTGCGAACCACATTGCACATGAAGAGAGGAATTCAAGATTTCTTTCAGTCGATAATATTAAAATTCGTTCCTTTATCTTAATATATAATATAAAAATTGTAGTATTAAAAGTTTAATCAATAAATTTTAAAATAATTAATTGCAATTTACAATAAATAAAATAAATTTTGACTTGAAATTGAAATTGAAATATAAACTAGTAACGATTAAATTGTTTACCTCATCATCATGAATAATAAAATTCTCGCCTTTCTCGGTAATAGTGTATTCATAGGATAGAAATAATTCGGCCAAAGAAGTTGGGCACGATGGCGGATGATTGGGAGAGTTTCTTGTACGGAGTATTATCCTCTTAATAAGGTTGGAGTTAGGGATCTTTATTATGATGGATTCATCTAGATTTGCCAATATCTCCGAGATAATCATACTGGGAGTATCAATAGGTGTTTTTGCTTTATGCTTAATTTCGTTAATTATTTTTCGTGACTCCGTTTGAGCACAATCCGCAATATGATTGTGCTCGAATTTATTTGGAATTTTTTCATTATTTCGGCATGGAGCCTGGCCTTACACATGTGATTATCTCTCTCTACGCATCTGTAGTAGTAGGTAGGAGGTTTTTTTTGTCAAGCCTGTATAAAAAGTTATCATAGATCTCTAGATCTTAACCTTTATAACTTTTTAATCATAATTATTATAAAGATATATTTATTTGTAATTTGTTTTTATAAAAATAAAAATAGTTTTAATAAGATGTAAAATAAAATCACAAAAATTTTTGAATCTTTTCTATTCATAAAAAGCCAGGTGCCGTCATATAAATTCTCGGAACACCCTTAAATAAAAAAAAGGGATAAAATAATCTTAAAAAAATTATTCAGCGCTGGGCGATAAAATAATGTGATGAAATTTTAAAAATAAAAAAGATTTCTTCTTGTCCCAAAATATAAATCCTGATTTGTTTTATGATAGATAATATTTTAGCTAATCTTGGACAACTTTCATTGATAAATTATATCTAAAAGTTTCGCGAATTTAAGTGATTTATAGCAATGACCTGGAGAGCACATTTTTTAAAAATATATTTTTTAAACAAAATTTTTATGAAACTAAATTCTAATCATCTCGGCCAAGGCCTGTTTATGAATAATTATGATGATATTTTTGAGTTTCCGGTTGTTATTTTTTTAAAATATGCTCGACAATCAGAAGTAGTAATGTTAAAATTATGAAATATGAAAAGGTTTCTTTCTTTATCAGTTCCTATTAATGCCTTGCTTTAACTAGTAGAGTAGCCAGTTTAAAAAAACTATCAACAACTAAGCCAGTCTTACGTCAATTTTAAATTTTATCAATATTTAATACTTTGTGAGTTATTTTAATCTGCACTGCCCAGCCTGAATTTCTTTAAAATAAATATTAATTTA